TCGGTCACGTGGGTTCATGACGTAAGGGGTAAAAGAATCTTGAGGTCATGGGGCTTCCCCTGACCTGGATTCTATCTCTCCGTCACCAGCAGAATCGCTGATTAATGCCTACAGTTCAAAATAGTCATTTTGTTTGACCGGAGTCTATGGTGGGTATGAACTATGTGAATAGGCGGGTTCGCAGAACATTTGCCTAAGTTCAGAATAAATACAATCATTTCGTGAAAATTAACTTTTTACAATTGTGAGTAATATTGATTTTAAAAAAATTAACCCCTCTCTAATTTTTGCTGTATTCTCAAGTATTAATACAATGTAATCTGCAATGTCTTGTTTTTTTCCAATCCTAGTTATTGGTAGGCATGTCTAAAGAAACAATGTACCCATTAATAGAAGACGATGAAAGACATACTTGTATAGACATTAAAAATGGAAGAACTGCTAAAAACGGCTCATCAAAAGAAGATGTGAAAATATCCTCACGTTACGCTGAATGCCGAACAAGAAGTCCTTTAAAAAAACTTGGAATTGCTATTCTTTACTACATAACCAGCATGCTGATAGCTAGTTACGCTTCTGTCCTTGCTAACGATTGGGTGCCGGATAAAAAGATTCACCCATCTCTGCCAGACATTGTGTTTAATAATACCTCTACACTGTCTCATGGGAACAGGATTTCTGATTGGTTATTGGTTTTTTCTGTAGTACTAACTTCAGCTGTAGTTCTCAGTCATAAAGACAGGTAATTTCAATAATTTATTGCAGAATGGTTCAGAACTTGATATTTTAGTAATTTGAGCTGTTTTAAATCTAAGGTACATTAGTTAATTCTTTAAAGTTAAATTTTTAATGTATATGTTTTTTATTAGTCCCCGTTCGGACGCAGTCTGAAAACGGGGACTTATGTTTTGCCCTGTGTGCGTCCGTCCGTTCGTCCGTCCGTCCGTCCGTCCGTCCGTCCGTCCGTCCGTCCGTCCGTCCGTCCGTCCGTTCGTGATCACCTGTATCTCGAACATGCATGGACCGATTAAGTTCAAACTCCACTCATACATCACACATTATATTGGACATATGCACATGCATTTTTTTCATGATCCGATTAACGATAGCCGAATAGCGGCCATTTTAAGGCCGAAAATGCATCAAAATCGCACTTTTTCACCATTCCGGACCCGGATCTCAGTTATGCATGGACGGATTTTGCTCAAATTTGGTACATACATTAAACATAATAGGACCTTAATGCACGTCATTTTTTTTTTTTGGATCGGGTTCGAAATGGCCGACTGGCGGCCATTTTGTTTTAAAGAATTCAGTTCTGGATCCGTATCTGAGACATGCTTGGATTGAGCGAGTTCAAAC